ATTTTTTGGGACAGGCATTTTGGGTTTTCATGAGCTGTATGCCATAATCATCAGTATTAAAACAATTAAAGACCTGAAATATTTCAGTTGGTGTGCAATGAATCTGAAATATATGAAAGTTTCATTTTTATCATTACATTATGGAAAATAATTACCTTTATCACAATATGCTAATTTTTTGAGAAGGACCTGTATATCGTGCTCGTATATTGTAATCATAGCAGAAGGAACTGGAACATGTCTGTGTTCATAGTAATAGAAACAATCCAGGATGAAACAGAATGCTTCAGACATAAACAGGACTGTACCTGCCCCTGGGCTGGCTGCCATGGCAAAAGGGGAGGCCTAGTACTACCAAGAGCGTGAGGGCAGCCCCGGGCCAATGGAGACAGGAGCGCCGGTTTCCATGATAAAGGAAACTGTTCAAACACTGTTCCTGTAAAAACATACAAAAAGGCAAACAGCAGTTATAACACGGTGAAAACAGCTATATATACTGTATTTGTGTGGCTCCAGACTTTAATTATTATCAGAGACAAACATTTTAACAAACAAAAAATATATAAAGTTTAGCATCAAAGTTAGAGCTCTACAGTGACTGGTCTGAATGACTATCGGCCAGTGGCCCTCACCCCGATAGTCGCTAAATACTTTGAAAAACTGGTCATGACCCACATCAGAACAACCATCAACATCAACGAGGACCCTCATCAGTATGTATACTGTGAGAACTGATCAACAGAGGATGCAATCTCCTCTGTGGTCCACACTGCGCTCAACCACCTGGAGCAGAAAAACTCTTACGTCCGTATGCTCTTTGTGGACTTCACATCCGCCTTCAACACCATGATCCCCCAAACCCTGATGGACAAACTATCCACACTTAGGACTTGGGGGAGTGGTGGCGCAGAGGTTAGAGAGGTGGGCTTGTGATCCGAAGATCGCCGGTTCACGCCCCGGCCCCGACAACAAAAAAAAATTGTGGGTGGGGTAGGTGAAAACACACACACTTGCCCCCACCCTCATTCGCCCCACTCTGGGCCCATGAGCAAGGCCCTTAACCCCCCCACCATGTGCTCCCTAAAAAAAAAAACAAAAAAAAAAAACAGGTCTCTCTTGAAAATGAGTTCTCGTGGCTCAATGAGACTAACCTGTATAAATAAAGGCTAAATGAAAAAAAAAAAAAAGGACTAAGCCCCTCCATTTGCAATTGGGTCCTAGACTTCTTAACAAACAGACCACAGTTAGTGAGGATCCACAACTTCTCCTTCTCCACCATAACCCTCAGCATTGACTCTCCTCAAGGATGTGTGTTGAGCCCCCTCCTGTTTACTCTGCTCATGTATGATTGTGCAGCTACCCATCCTGGCTGTCACACTGTAAAGCTTGCAGATGATACAGCGGTGGTGGGATGCATCAGAAACAATGATGAGTCCAGCTACAGGCAAGAGGTGGAACACCTGGAGAGCTGGTGCAGAGAGAATAACCTTCACATCAATGTGAAGAAGACAACGGAAATGATTGTGGACTTGAGAAGGAACAAACGCATCTACACCCCCCTGAACATAAGAGGATCTGTGGTGGAAGTGGTCTCCAGCTACAAGTACTTGGGTGTACACATGAATGACAACCTCAGCTGGAGCAACAACACCACCAGCCTGATGAAGAAAGTTCATCAGAGACTCTACTTCCTCAGGCGGCTGAGACAAGCTGGTCTGGGAAGCTCAGTCCTCACCTCCTTCTACAGGTGTGCAGTGGAGAGCATCCTGTGCTCCAGCATCAATGTGTGGCATGGAGGCTGCACAGCTGCAGAAAGAAAAGCTTTGCAGAGAGTGGTGAAGGCTGCACAGAAGATGTTGGAGTCAGTCTCCCCACATCACAGACATCTACACCTCCAGATGCAGGAAGAGGGCCACCTGCATCATGAAGGACCCCACTCACCCAGCACACACACGTTTTTTGTCCTGCTCCCCTCAGGAAGGAGGTTGAGGAGCATTAGGTGTAGAACCACTAGACTAAGGAACAGCTTCTACCCTGAGGGTGTTGGACTCATGAATCTCTAACCAGAATAATCACTGTGAACAATCACATGTTGCTGCTGATCTGTTTCATGTTGCTGCTGATCTGTTTCATGTTGCTGCTGATCTGTTTCATGTTGCTGCTGATCTGTTTCAATGTTGCTGTGTTCATGCGTGCTCATCTGTTCACACAGACTCGTTTCTGCTGCTATTTGACGTAATGTGCTTCGTGCATATTTAGTTGATGTTTTTCTTAGTTCATATCTTAGATCTTGAGCATGCATCAGGATATCTTAGATCTTATTACTGTTTGTCTTTTACATGTTATTACTGGATGGAACTGGGTCCCTGTGTACAAACCGGTTTCCAAAAAAGTTTGGACACTAAACAAATTGTGAATAAAAACTGAATGCAATGATGTGGAGGTGCCAACATCTAATATTTTATTCAGAATAGAACACAAATCACAGATCAAAAGTTTAAACTGAGAGAATGTATCATTTTAAGGGAAAAATCTGTTGTTTCCAAATTTCATGGCGTCAACAAATCCCAATAAAGTTGGGACAAGTCCATTTTTACCACTGTGTGGCATCCCCCCTTCTTCTTCCAACACTCAACAGACGTCTGGGGACAGAGGAGACCAGTTTCTCCAGTTTAGAAATAGGAATGCTCTCCCATTCATGTCTAATACAGGCCTCTAACTGTTCAATCG